AATTTATTTGTCGTTAATTTGCTCGCACTAGCAAGAAGAACGAAACTGTGAAATTAAAAATAATACTCCTGTCGTATCCCTAACACTTTGCTCTTCTTGTGGAAGACTGTCATCAATTTGATCAAACTATCAACCGATTCAGAAACCTGCACTTTTGAATGCTGCGACGACTCCTTCGTAGACCTAAAATCGAAGCTGGCATGAAGATTTCGTGTGGGGTAAATTAACTATGAACTCACTTCGTCAGGGCTCTTATCGCTGGGTACTTCTTTGACAAGACCCAACTTCTCGTAATGCTGAATTATTGGAAGAGTTTGATTGTTGTACGTCTCGATTCGTTTCCGTAAAGATTCTTCGTTATCATCAGTACGACCTTGGCCTGAATTCATGCAAAATATGAGCTTAATATTTTGATATGGAAGGGATCAGATAAGTTATAAACATACCTCTGTGCAGGCATCGACTAATGCATATATCTACTGGGCAAGAAAGAAACAGAACGAACTTCACCTCTGCCTTAAATGTCATAATAATGACGTATTCCTATTACCGTTGGGTAACACTTTGAAAAGAGTTAGAACGGAAACCAAATGACTTATCCGCACTTTTCCACTCATTTGTCGTTCCCAACCTTCAAGATTATCTTGGTTACGTGGAAATCCATCTATGAGAAAACCTTTCGCCTCACTTGATGCATCCATTCTCTGCAATGATGCTCTTTAAAAAAACTCATGTTTTCTACTTGATTAGTTCTTGAGTACTCTGTCAGTTTATGGTTTGAAGCTAACAATTCTACTCAATAATGCTGCTAACATATTTGCGCATAGAAGAGCAAAAATAGTCCAAGATTAACTTTATTTAGGATTATCAAGATTTCAACATAAACTTGTTTGAGCAACGTTTGCAAAAGGAAATATCAATGATTTTGCTAGAGCTTAACTGTTTTTGTCATTTGGAGAAAAAGTTAAGGAATGTCAGATGCAACCGCACAGGCATTGAAACAAAGAAAGTTAAATCTGCAAAAACAAGCGGAAATTATAACTCACTTCTTATGAGCGCTTTTTGATCAATTGAAAGTGTCTTTACCAACATATCAAACAAGACAATCTTTAAAAACCTACATACCTGTCTCTCAAATCCACTCAACATGTAATGCGTCAGAGATGCAACATGTTTATTTTTCTTGGTCATACACCATGTTAGTTAAACAAAATTTCGCGCATCTAAGACCACTCTTGAAAAATTATGATGCAGAAATTATTAACTGTTCAAACTACTCACATTTTCTAAAAGCTTGCAGGTGATTTCAACAGGTACAATTGTTCCATTCTTAATATGATTTTCTATGAGCTGTCCGTACGTTGATCCTTCTCGCTGTCGCTCTTCACGTAAAAGATCGCCCGCCGATAAATGCATAAAACCGAGATTCTGAAAAAAAATCACTGATTGAAGAGGATACCTACAGGATGAACTTTAAAGAACATAAACTTTACCTCATGGATTTTCACACACTGCGTTCCTTTGCCTGAGCCTGGTGGACCCAGGACAAAAACCACATTATAAATCTTCTTCCCTGTCGGAGCCATAGCAGATATCCTACCGATTGCTATAAAAATTCACATTCTACCCAAAATTCGTTTTAGGCATCCACTGACCAGCGCTTATGGGACGAGAACCCTAGTCAAGAAATCGTTGGCGCTATGAGTAACAGCTAAAGCACATCCACCCAGCTTTTACTAGCTACATGTTG